GCCTTCATTTTATGAAATGCTGCTACACAAAACTCTGAATTTATAAAAGAGACACATTACAAAAGAGTGTGGGGAGAATACAATTGCTTGTTTTACAGATGATTTTTTCCCTTTACAAAGAGTTCACCATGTATGTATTCTAATATATTTTGAGTTCTTCGATAACGTTTATAACATGTTTTAAGCTTATTTGTTTATTTTGTTTTGTTTAACTTTGCACAGTGTTCCTGAGAGAAGTGTTACGCAAATCTCAGGAGAGATTTTTCCAACGGACCCCCTCAAAGGCACTAAGTTATGAAGATGCCTTCTTGAAAAATTATAAGCCCACAATTTCATTCTTGCCTTTCTATGTGCGCTTCCTTTTGAATTCTCTTTCTCACCAGCCTTAGCTCTCCCTATTCTTTTCCCTGTCAATCTCATGAAATCCCACTCATCTTTTAATTGTTGTTGGCTCTGACTCATGGTGACATTATGTACAATGTTGCTCAGTCTTGGCCATCTTAGTGTCTTCCAATCTCATCTTCCAGGGTTATATCATGCAATGTTCTTTTGTGATCCATAGAATTTTCACTGGCCAATTTTTGGAAGTAGATGGCCAGGCCTTTCTTCATAGTCTGTCTTGGTCTGGAAGCTCTCCTGAAACTTGTCCACATGAATGACCCTGCTGGTATTTGAAATACTAGTGGCATAGCTTCAAGCATCATAGCAACAATTAAGTCACCACAGTGCAACAAACTGACAGACAGGTGGTGGCATCATTTAGTACACAATTCAAACACCCTGTCTGCTGTAATCCCTTCTCAATTTTACCATGCAGCTTTAATCACCCCTTCCACAGCTCTCCATTCATAAACCTAATAAAAAGTTTTATTTTGTATTATACATTGTATTTCCCGCTTGAAATGGTGAACTCCTAGAGGGCCAGAATCATGTGATATATATTTAGATACGATTTCACCAAGGTGATTTTAATATGTGTCCTTGTGACCTGAGAAGAACTTGTAGCTGTTCTCTGATATTTGTATACTTTCTCTGCTTTTCCTATGCAATTTGACAAAAAACCCAAAAAACTTAGGTTAGAAAAACTGAGTTCATTTCTTATCTTTTACTTCCTTACTGTGTACGCTTGGGCAAATATCTTAACATTTCTGAACCTCAGATACCTCGCCTGAAACAGAAGAAGTAGATAAACTATTCACCTCCTTAAATCATTTTAGTATCAAATTAAGATCATAAAAAAGAATAGGTAAAATGTAGTTTGGAAGATAAAATTTTATTATTATTAGATAAGATCTGCTGAATAATTTGAGTCTGCCCTGGGCCAACCAGATGTGAACGTAGGGAAAGTAAGCAGACACTAGCCATATTCTATCACTGAGGGACTGTCTTTATATACCAAACCACAAAGACAGAGAAAGGTCAATACTCAAAACAGTTTTAAGGATTTTTTAGACTCCATAAACCTCCTAAACCATAGCTATGAGATTTTTTTTTGGAAGGAAGGGAAAGGATGGTGGGAATAGAGTAAGAGTAGAAGGAGTACTAAGATTGTGCTTATAATTACATCAAATTCACTGGATAATTGGTTTTCTTTTGATTCGGTTTTCCTGTGTAAAAATTGGGGAGTAATGGAAAACCAGCAGAAAGAGGTCATGTGTGCATGAACTTCAACTCTTGGGGCTTCAGTTACCCCATCTTTCAAAGAGATACCAGCTCCTTGAAGGTAGGGACTATTTCTTGTTTCTCCCTGTTTTGTCAGCATGTTATAACATTCTTGGACAATGGTAGGTATAATTTGTAATTTATTGGATATAAGTGTATGTATCGTGTTTAATTATATTAATTTAAGGATTTAAAAGACATGAGTGTATAAATGAGAGTGTTAATCAGGAAGATTAACAACCCTTCCAAATATAACATTTAAGAGGTTGGCATCACCGATAGCTTTGG